ATTTACCCCCCATACCCCTTGTCAGCAAAAGTAAGCAAAGCTCTTACCCCCTCCCCCTATGCTTACGTAAACATTTGTCAATTAATGTATTGTTTTTTTTAATATTATAATTATAACGTTATGATTATAATTTGAAAAATAAGAAAATAGATTTAGGATATAGATTATATTTTACTGATACGGAACATAGAATAAAGGACAAAAATATTATATCTAACATAACAAACTTATTTTAAATTTTTGGTACATATATTAAATTCAAACTAACAGTCTTCAGTCCATGAAACCCGAATCCATGATTCTAAGTGTTCGATGACCTTGGATTGCTTCGATTGCTGCTCAATGTTGCGAGTTTGGTCGCTTTCATCGGATTTTGGAATGTATGTCGTTCTCATCGAGCCATTCAACATCATGGTGCTCTAAATTTTGAATAATGCACATCAGTTCATTAGCACGACGAGCAGCGACTCTTACAGGTCTAACTTTCACATCAGTGTGCGTGTTTACTTTTTTATGGATGTTTTCGATGTGACGATTTAGTGACTTGACGGAAGACCACACGTTTTGCATGTTCGACTTGATAGCCTCAATTTTACCGTCGGACAACAATAATCGTAGGGCATTTGCAGGAAATCTTTGAGTGAAGCACTTGAGCGTAGAGCTAAATTGACTGGAAGATTAAGAAATTGCCCTCCTTCATCCAAAACCAAGTCATCAACTGTTTGTTTTACTTTTACAGGTGGTGGAAGAAACCTCTTGTCTGGTAATCTAAATAGCCCACTTCTTGGACGACAGCATTCTGTATTTCTACATTTTACAATTTGAAGCAAGTATTGGCTCTCACGCCCATGTTCTGAATACCATTTAATGTCTGGAAAATCAGGAAGATCTTGTTCACCTGCACCAACATATTTTGCATTAACATTATAGCCATCAATTTCCATTGAACTCCATACTTCAGCTAATACATTTCCTGCAAATTCGAAATTAGATCTTTCTAAATATTCATCCAAATGAGACCCAAAATGGTCAAGAGGTAATATTAAACCAGCCAGTTCCCGACTAAGAGGAGCCATTCTGCGCTCTACTCTGTTATACGCACTTCTTCCAGGAGCATTGGTAGCTAAAAACAGTTGCTAAATGTTATTAACGATCTCACATACGACTGTAAGTTAATTTAAAATCATTTTCCACTATAGTTGCTATTTCCTCTCAGTGTTATTGCAGCTCCTGATGAAGATGGCAAAGTTCACTGAAAGCTAGAGATTAATAAAGTATAAAAAATATAGTATCTTTGCTAGAATTTTGTCGAAGTACCCAACAAAAGGCGGAAGCTTTATTTTTCACCTAACTGGTTCAAACGACAATGACCACGTCTCAAGTTATATATACATATATATATATATATATATATATATACGTAGTCATGCCATAAGTTCTGTCCCTCGTTTTCAAACAAGTGTAGACCTGTTAATACTTGTCCGATTGTTTACATTGTGGTGTCAGTTGATTAAGCGCTTTTCGGGTAATTACATATACCTCAGTTTGTATTGATCTCTCGAAGCATAACGATGGAGTGGGGCAAGGCAGAGAACCGTATTGCAGTGATAGCTTTACATAAGTGTAATCACAGTGCTAGTCAGATTTTTGAACTCTTACGCGGCCTTCAAATATCGCGTAAATTTGTGTCTAGGACCATTTAGCGGTACAATGAGACGTCCTCTGTTGATGACAGGCCAAGAAGCGGAAGACCTCGTCAAGTAAGGACTCCAGCAGCCATCAAAGCCGTAAAAGCCAGGATTCAAAGGAATCCACTCCGGAAGCAGAAGATCCTATCCAGGGAAATGAAGATTCCTGTCCGGACGATGTCGCGCATCATTAAACAAGACCTAGGGCTAGGGGCTTACCGGAGACGTACGGGCCAGCGACTTACGGCCACCTTGCGACACATCAGGGCGACAAGATCCAAGAAGCTCTTGGAGAGGTACGCAGCTGGGGGATTCCGAAAGATTTTGTTCACGGATGAGAAAATCTTCACCATAGAAGAAAAATTCAACCGACAAAATGACAAAGTGTATGCAAGGAGTTCACAGGAAGCTTCGGAGATCATTCCGAGAGTTGAGAGAGGCCACCACCCTGCGTCAGTCATGGTTTGGTGGGGGGTGTCCTACGAAGGGGTCACTCAGCTCCATTTCTGTAAACAGGGCGTGAAAACAAAAGCGGCAAACTATCAGAGCGACATACTGGATCCTATCGTCAAGCCTTTAAGTGGTACATTGTTTGCCAACCAACACTGGGTCTACCAGCAGGATTCCGCCCCCGCTCACAAGGCTAAGAGTACGCAGCGCTGGCTGGAAAGCAATGTGCCAGAGTTCATTGCTGCGGAAGATTGGCCCTCAGGGAGTCCGGACCTCAATCCTTTAGACTACAAGTTGTGGGACCTGCTAGAGCAGTTGGCCTGCTCCAAAGCCCACCGTAATATCGAGTCCCTGAAAGCGGATTTGATCCGATCAGCGGCAGCTATTCCTTTGGAAGCTGTGCGTGCAGTGATAGATGAGTGGCCCGCGAGATTGAAGCAGTGTGTGAAGGCCAAAGGGGGACATTTTGAATAAAACTGTTTGATTATGAATTCTAAAAATGTTGTCGAATAAATAATATCTTTCATATAAATATATCTTATCTTGTTTCATTTTTATCATGAGATTATCATGGGACAGAACTTATGGCACGACTACGTATATATATATATATATAACTTGAGACGTGGTCATTGTCGTCTAGACCAGTTAGGTGAAAAATTAAAGTTTCCGCCTTTTGTTGGGTACTTCGACAAAATTTAAGCAAAGAGGACTCTTTATACTTTTTTTTAATTCTCTCTAGCTTTCATTGGACTTTGCCATCATCATCAGGAGCTGCAATTACAATGATAACAGTAGCAACAAAAGTGTAAAATGAATTTAAATTGAATCAACTTACAGTAGTATGTGAGGATGTTGCTAATTGTTCTTTTCGTATAGGATGAGGGAAACGTCCAGTAACATGGTGAGAGCTGGATACATGGTACAATGGTTAAAATTATATAAAATATGACAAGACAAGTTAAAGACAGATTAAAAATTATTTAGAAAACATTACCATTTTGTGCAATCATCAAGTGGCTTCACGACGTAATGCTCTAATGTTTTCTAAATAATTTTTAATCTGTCTTTAACTTGTCTTGTCATATTTTATATAATTTTAACCATTGTACCATGTGTCCAGCTCTCACCATGTTACTGGACGTTTCCCTCATCCTATACGAAAAGAACAATTAGCAACATCCTCACATACTACTGTAAGTTGATTCAATTTAAATTCATTTTACACTTTTGTTGCTACTGTTATCATTGTAATTGCAGCTCCTGATGATGATGGCAAAGTCCATTGAAAGCTAGAGAGAATTAAAAAAGTATAAAGAGTCCTCTTTGCTTAAATTTTGTTGAAGTACCCAACAAAAGGCGGAAGCTTTAATTTTTCACCTATATATATACAGGGTGACTTCGAAGTTGAGTCATTTATTTTAACAGTGTGTAGATCTGATCAAAAGAAATGTTTTTTTCCTTTACCATTTTTCTGGTAAAATTAAAGTAACAAAGTTATAGCCCTTTGGAAGTTTGAGTACCGCCCTGTCTCAATAATATCATGTGTTCGTGTTTGGCAACAACGGTTCATCGCATCGGAAACAAAAAAGCGAAAGAATTTGGAACGATGTTTTTACGATTACAATTCAGTTCAGTTATACATACAGTCAGTTTCAGTCGCGTGTGAATAGTGTGTGAAATAAAAAATGGCACATGTTTATGCGGATCGGTTTCCCAATCGAGTGCAACCAACCCCTCGTGCCTTTGTTAATGTAGTACAACGGGCTCGTGAATCAGGTGACTTAAGACCTCACAGGGGACCTCACGATCAAATACAGGTCCGCACTGAAATACTTGTCGGGAGGATACTTTGTAAAACAAGGTAAAATTTTTTTTTAATTTTTTTTTTATTTTTACACACATATTTTGGTTTATCTTCCTTCTACAATCATTATCTGAAAATTAATGACTCAACTTCAAAGTCACCCTGTATATATAGAGAGAGAGAAATAATAAAAAAAATATAATTTAACGGAAAATCATTTTAGGCATATTAAAAGAAAAACATACACATACATTTACATGCTCTTTTAATATATGATATTATGATAATATTATACATATAAAACGTATAAAAAGAAAGGAAACAATATAAAGTAAACACTACAATTCAACTAATAGAAATTTTCTGAAAATTATTTTGAAAGCTGACACAGACATAGAGTTAAGGTTTGTGGTGACGTGATTGTACAAGTGATAGATAGAATGAGAAAAAGATCTGTTAAACATAGATGTACGATGACGTGGTTGGGAAATCAGCTTCCGGGACCGAACACTGATATTTTGAACATCACTTCGAAATGTTATCTTATTATATAAATAAGGCGGCGTTTTATACAGGGTGACTTCGAAGTTGAGTCATTTATTTTAACAGTGAGTAGATCTGATCAAAAGAAATGTTTTTTCCTTTACCATTTTTCTGGTAAAATTAAACTAACAAAGTTATAGCCCTTTGGAAGTTTGAGTACCGCCCTGTCTCAATAATATTATGTGTTCGTGTTTGGCGACAACGGATATAATCCGCCTTATCGGTTCATCGCATCGGAAACAAAAAAGCGAAAGAATTTGGAACGATGTTTTTACAATTATTTTATTCAGTTCAGTTGTATACAGTCAGTGTCAGTCGGTAACGCGTGAGTGAATAGTGGTGTCTGTTGCGTGGCTCAAACGAAATAAAAAATGGCACATGTTTATGCGGATCGGTTTCCCAATCGAGTGCAACCAACCCCTCGTGCTTTTGTTAATGTAATACAACAGGCTCGTGAATCAGGTGACTTAAGACCTCACAGGGGACGGCATGCCGGTGCTCCAAGACCTCACGATCAAATACAGGTCCGCACTGAAATACTTGTCGGGAGGATACTTTATAAAACAAGGTAAAAACTAGCTAGTCTGTAAGATGACATTTAGTCGTTTTTTTTTCTAGGTTTTTTTACATAATACCCCGAGGAAATTTTCACCAACTTGGCAACGCGCGTTGCGATTCATGCTCGAATCGTCTAGCAAACTTCTAGATACACCCACCACGGTCAGCCTTCGTATAAAACGCTCCGCGCGCGAGCAACCGCGATATTTCAAATACGAACGCACTGCGATTACGACGAACTCGAATCAACACTTGCCGCGAATATTCATCTGTGATACACTGAAATAAATCGTCTGTGAATACTTATCGCATTTATTTTTTTCGATTTCAATCGGTTCGTGTGTTATTGTTGTGAGTGTTTGGAATACTTTTGAATGAAGACGATGTCGTCACCCGTGGTCGATCATGTGAGGAGTATTCCTTTGGTTATAGAAGGTGGACGCAGAGTTAATGGGGATATACCAATGGAACATGAACACATTGTAAGTGGATTTAGATTGGTTGAATAGGAAAAGGCTTGTAGCTTCGGCTACTTTTTCAAATTTGGATCATTATTCAACACTCGGAGCAGATAATCGAAATGAGACAACACAGAGTGCCGTCTGTTACCAGAATCGAACACTGCGAAAGTGGAAACAGCAAGCTGTCGGAACATTATACCAGTGTGTTAAATGGCTTGAAAAGTGAAATTTTGTAGGCTTTTTGGGGCATTTCGTAGGTTTTTCGTGAGATAACGTAGATTTTTCTACAAGTCGTCAACTTAGCACTACTGTATATTCAGATAAGAGATAGACCGGACATAAACAAGACCACGTGATCATCGAACGCTGTAACATTCGGCAGCGACGTATTAAGAGTCACGCAGTACATATTTTAGATAGTAGATGCTGCTTTGCGTAACTTTGTAGTAAGTAAATTAGCACAATTCGATGTGTATACGATTGGTGATGGATATAGGATCATGTGGGGGTGGGGTAAGAAATATATAATGATGTAAATATACATAAGGGTTTCAAAATTTTCGCTTCGATTTCCAGCTTCGGATGCCGCCTGATGTTTGGTGAAATACAGTCGAATATAATCTCAAAATGGCGTTTAAATTAGCCTAAATTAAAAATAATTGTATATCTCTTAAAATTGCTTTTAGAATATTGATTAGTATATTTTTTGATTTCTAGGTAAATATGTAACCAAATTAAAACGTTCAAAACGTAAAAAAATGTGCCTGATTGAACATTGTCAGAAAGTAGATTCTTGAATAGGTTTTGCCAAAATGGGTTCAAAAATGTCAATAATTAATTAAAAAATACAGTAGCTTTATAATTACTTATAACTTACCGAATTTGATGAACGACATCTTTTATTGGAAAGATGAGCTTGATGAGCTTTCATCATCGCTACTGCCTGAAGCACCAACGTCAATAATGAATGGCTCGACTTGTTCCTCTAAAATATTGTCCAGTTCCCACATTCTCTTTTCAACTTTGTCTTTCACGTGCTTAATACAGTTTTCCCATTTTTGCGCTGTTATTAATTCGAGTGCTTCTTTGAAAAGTCCTTTGAGGTCACAAAATTTAAAAGTTGTATTGTGCTTAGCTATATAATTTTTAACCTCTGCCCATATGAGCTCAATGGGATTGAGCTCGCAATGGTATGGAGGTAAACGGAGCACAGTTTTATTTTGACTTGCTGCCATTTCGTCAATGGCGTATTTTTGATATTCCGCCTTGTGATCCTTGACAATTCTTAATAATTGTACTTTCAGCATTGCTTCTTCAAAGTTGATATTTTTCGAGCGGAGCCAATTTTGAACATCAACTTTCCTTGAAGCCGTTGTTGGAACCTTCTCCATTCTTCGAGAATGATAAGGCGCATTATCCAACACAATTACTGCGTTTTCCTCTAAGTTCGGTAAAATTTTTGAAAACCACTGTTCAAACGATTCGCCATTCATTTCCTCGTGGTAATCTCCAGTTTTCTTAGACTCAAAGCACCACAGACCGCCAACAACAAATCCATCCTCACTGCCAATATGGCAGATAATGAGCCTTTTCCCTTTACCTGGAAATCGAAGTACTAACTGGTGTAGATTTATTTCAATAAGCGAACCTTTTGCAAATGTTTTCATCACATTCAGCGAAAAAACATTGAGACATGAGTATCAGATTGCTATAATTGGGATTATTTAGTCATATTGAAAGAAAGAATATGGAACGTCGTATGATTACTCAGCGCTTCACAATTTAATTTAAAGTTATAAACCTTTAAAAAATGAATGACCAGGAACCTGAAATACGCGCAAATATTAATATTAACAAATTATAACTTTATAAAGCTTAAAGTATGAATTAAAATGATTAGAAATATTAGGAACGGTACACAGTATAAAACTTAGTAACTTTTATAATATTCGACATATTTTAAGATTATATTAAAAAATTATTGAAATATCGAAAACACATAAAAACATGGCTTAAAAAAGTTCTAACAAATGAAAATCACAATAAAACATCCACGCATTTTATCGAAAGTTATAAAAGTTTTGTTACTTGTAATATGTTTTATCTGCCCCCTGGAATTAATGTTTAGAACCTTGTTCCCAAGGTTTGAAAAACATCCGATTGTTGTCTATTACTCGTATTTACCTGCTGGATTTTTTAATCCGGTGGACAGTCCATCTAGAAAGGCCCTCCTGGATGCAGTTACAGAATCATCAACCCATACTTTACTTGTAGTGTGTCCTGCGTTTACCCACGTTTCATCAAGGTAATAAATCTTCCTGTTTTGATTTTTATATTTCCCAATTTTTGTTAAATAATCCCTCCTCCATAGCACAATTTCTTCTCTATCCAGTAGTAAACTATTACGACCCCGTTTTTTCCATTTGAAATTTAAATACTTCAGTAACGCATGGAAAGTTGATCGTTTGAAATTTGGCAACGGTGTATCTCCATTTACCTCCTGCAGTACTTTATCTATAGTAGGTATTTCATTCCTAAAGAAGAATTCATGCACTTTCCTCCTAATTGCATGCTTATCAGCTTCATCCAATGATTTAACAATACTTTTGCGATGTTTACTGGTCATTGGCTCAGAAAAGGTGTCATTTTTTTTGTATTGTCTTAACACATTAAACACTGATGCGCGACACACCCCAACTTTGTGAGAAACCTTCACAACAATTTCTTTGATGATTGATGCCTCGTTCTCCTCGCGCTCGATCTTATATACGAGTATATTCAAAATGACCTCTTTCATTTCTGCACTCAGGTGTCTTTTTTAGAGCGTTTTCTAGGTGGACTACAGGAGTTTACAACTTCATCGGCAGTATCTGTACTACTGGGCATTTTGCGCAAGCAGTTGATAACAATAACAATCAATAACAAGGTATAACAATAACAACGACAAACTCAACAACTTAATAAGATAACAAACGAAAACGTCCAAAGAAATATCAAATTGCAATGATGCACACGACATACGTAACACGTCTGAACCTGAATGTGACTCTGCCTTGATACGACTGCTCTGCCGCTCGGCATAGGCATTTAATTGCGAATTGACCAATGAGGGCTCCTGTTTTACGTCGAGACGGCGGCGTTAGCGTGAAAATCACCCGAACCTTTTGTTTACATCCGGTCTATCTCTTATCTGAATATACTGTAGCTGTTGTGGACTTGTGTTGTAGCTTTACGTGTTGCCTACACGTCATAATGCTTCAGCTATCAAAGTGATTATGAGGAATCTTATATTTTATACTTACATACTGGCACATATTGCGATTAAATTCATTGTACGAGCCGCTTCAGTTGGCCCAAGTTTTTGAAAATAAAAAAAAACAGTAAAAATAGTAATTTATAGTTATAGTTGGAATATAAAAAAGTTGATTCAACAAACATGAAAAATTGGATATCTTAGTTGAAATTAAGAGCTACCTTTACAGTCGAATGCCTCGAAAACTCGGTCAAAAAGTAGTTTTACAAACAGAAGGTATAATAAAATTAGAGACAGATAAGAGATGAATCCAAAAACATGACTTCCACAAAATAGCGGATGACGCCTAAACATGACTGTTCTCATTTAGTCGAAAATAAATGCGTTGTTGCCGGATAGATAATCCTTTGAACATGTGGCTATTTTTTAGATTCTGGAAGCAGTATAGTATACTCGTATACAATGGTCCTGTTCTTGAAAGCGAAAAAATAGAACATGGGAAACTTGTTAACGCGACCTTGTTACACAAATTATACCGAATACGTTTTTTCGTGCTTATAAATGTTTGTTGACTCTTGTGGTTAACCTTTCGTTACCTTATTTGGCACAAGATTCGGAAACATGCGACGTTTCGAAACGAACCGGTGGAAAAATACATAGGATCCATACTAATATGGAAAGACAGCCTTACTTGGTTTTACACATCTTCCTGTCATTTTCAGTTTTATATAGTAGATAATTTTGGAGTATTGAAATGTACAGTAATGGCCAAAAGTATATAGATAAATTAATATTGTGTTGTATTTCTTTTTTAACTTGTTTTATTAGTACACCAACCTGTATAGATAATTCGTTACAACATATTAAATTCATTAGATTCCCTTCAATTAAAAATTAATCGACAAAAAAAAAAATGGAACCATGAAGGACAAAAATATATAGACAAAGCAAAACAATATAGAAAAAGGAAGCAAAGTTCATTGAATTATAGAAAACCAACCATGTTTGTGTTAATATTTTGTAGCATAACCATTATTATCAATCACCGCCTGGCATCGTCTCCGCATAGATTGTAGAAGTTTCTTTATATAAGATTCATCAATCTGTCTCCACTTTTGCTCTAAAGCGGCAAAAAGTTCATCTTTGAATAATTTTTATCTCGTATTTGCTTATCTAAGTATTCCGATAGATTTTCAATGGGGTTTATATCGGGAGACTGTGAAGGCCATTTGAGAACTAGTATTTTTTAATCCAGAAAGAATTTCTTTGAGAGATTTGAAGTGTGCTTCGGGTCATTATCTTGCTGGAAGATTGATCTTAAGGGCATAGTATCTTCCATATAGGGTAACATGACGCTTTAGTATGTCTCTGTATGCAAACTTATCCATAATGCCATCTATTCTATGTAAAGGTCCTATCCCAAACCCCGAAAAGCACCCCCAAACCATAACAGACCCGCCTCCATGTTTGACAGTGGGCAAAGTGTACTTGGGGTTCAATCTTTGTCCACTAGGACGTCTAACGTCTTTTGTCCGTTACTGTACATACAAATATGTAGTAACACAAAACAATGTAAGTCACTTTAAGGACGCAAAAATGCATATTGTCGTTTGTCTCCTCTTTTGGGTTAAAATGGCGTCTTGAAATCGTACTTCTAATTTAGAAAGATGCTCCAAAGTCTCTGTATTTCCTTGATTTTCGACAATACTTTTGAGCTCCTTGGTAAGGGTAATAGCTTTACTATAATTTGGAATAACTTCTGTTGGTACTGGAACCTCATCGAACATCAAAATCTTCGAAAAGTACATTTATCAGTCAATTTCAATCAATTTTTATTTTTGAATATATTTGAAAGTACATTGAGTCTGGGTCAGGTGTATCAGCCTCATTCGACTGGTCTTCACTTTGCAAATTTTCATGCTTAAATCCTGCTTTGCAGAAGCATATTTGCCCTGTTTCTTTGGTTACTTGGTTCCAAGCGGTTTTTGCCAAACAAACTGTCTGTTCTTCAATAACCGAAATTATCCACGTCGGAATGGAGGAATACATCCCTCACACAGTGAAAGTTCCTAAACCAGGGTCCAACGGCTGGTTTAACAAATCGTGTGACACTGCTCGCCAGCAGAAGATCAAGGCCCACAGAACCTACTTACAAAACCCCACTGTAGAGAACAGACAAGCCGACGTCGAGTCCAGAAACAAATATAACGAAGCGGTTCGCAATGCCAAAAACCAGCATGATATAAAAGTTAGGCACAGGGTAATGTCGCAGCGCAATGGCAGTCGGTCTTTCTGGACGCTGGCCAAGCAGATTGAAAAGAACTTCTCACACAGTAGCCTTCCACCACTTACGTGTCAGGATGGAACTATTGTATTCGACTCAAAGGCCAAGGCGGAAGTGCTAGCCAAGATCTTTGCTGCCAACTCCACCATGGACGTCCCCACCAACGCCCAAGTGCCGTCAATTCAAAGGGTTCCCCACACTATGCGGGAGGTAACATTTAGGCATAAGACCGTAAGACGAGTGCTCTTGTCGCTCGACATCAACAAAGCTTCTGGTCCGGACTTGATTCCTGCCATTGTACTGAAGAGATGTGCAGCGGAGCTTGCTCCAGTTCTTTCGCGTCTCTTCCAGATATCTTATGAATCCGGCACCTTCCCAGAAAACTGGAAATTTGCTCATGTACAGCCCATCCCCAAAAAGGGATCTAAAACCGACCCTTACAACTACAGGCCTATAGCTCTGCTTTCTGTTATAAGTAAAGTGATGGAGAGGTGCATAAATCGCGAGCTTCTAGACTACCTCGAACGTCACAGCTTGATTAGCGACAGGCAGTACGGTTTCCGGCACCAACGATCCACAGGGGACCTCCTAGCTTACGTCACGCAACTGTGGAGTAAACTCATCCAGTCTCATGGTGAGGCTCATGTCGTTGCTCTTGACATCACGAAAGCGTTCGATCAGCTGTGACACGCTGCCCTATTAAGCAAACTTCCATCTTACGGCCTCCCAGAAAAGCTTTGCAGATGGGTGGCTGACTTTATCTCTGGCCGCAAGATATTCGTCGTAATTGACGGATTCTCCTCTTCTCCCACAACGTCAACGCGGGTGTTCCCCAGGGATCGGTCTTGGCTCCAACACTGTTTCTCTTACATATCAACGACCTCCTTTCCTGCACGATCAACCCAATCCACAGCTTCGCTGATGACAGCACTCTACATGCAGGAATTCAGAGTGACAAGCCGATATCTGCCGCTGAGCTGGAAAAAAGAAGACTAGCGACGACTTCTTCTCTGACAAGAGACCTGGAGGCTATCACTGCTTGGGGACGCAACAATCTTGTACAGTTCAATGCTTCCGAAACACAGTACTGTACTTTGACGAACAAAAAGCGTCCTAGCGCTCATACAGTTTCGATGGACGGTCGAGTTCTACCAAAGAGCCATTCATTTCGGCTGGTCGGAGTCCAGATCACCGTGGACCTGATCTGGCACGAACACATCTCTTCAATAGCTGCAGCTGCTGGGAAAAAGCTAGGCTATTTGTTTAGGGCTAAGAAGTACTTTTCTCCGCATGACCTTCTCACGCTATACAAGGCCCAGATAAGGCCTAGCCTCGAGTATTGCTCACACATTTGGGGTGCTGCCGCCCCGACTACATTGTCCATGCTCGATGCTGTCCAGAGGAGGGCGGTCCGACTGATCGATGACTCTTCTCTAACAGACAGTCTCGGGACTCTTTCGCACCGGCGGGCCGTCGGCGATCTAGCTCTTTTCTATCGCTACACCAACGGGCTTTGCTCCTCAGAGCTCTCTTCCATGATGCCGCCGCGCGATGTGCCTGCCAGACAGACCCGCCTGAGTTCGGCGTCCCATCCTAATCGTGTCAAACTTCGTACATCCAGAACTGGCCGATACGACCGCTCCTTTGTCCCGAGGGTGTCTAGATTGTGGAACAATCTACGGGAGGAAGCATTTCCCAGTTCTACTAACCTTAGGCAGTTCAAAGGTCGTATTAACAAAATTTCTTTGGGATCATCATAGCAGCCGCGTTGTTCCGGCATTTAGGCTTCTGCCTGCGCGGCTGTTTCGATATAAAAAAAAAACTGCATCCAATGACGTAATTTTCTCATGCCGGGAAGAAATGCACCACAGGGCCGATTTCACCAACATTAATATTATGGACCGATAGGAAAATACCGTATCGAAATGCAATTTGACGGAAGCTGTCAAAGGTCTCATAATATCAGTGATTTCTATTAAAATGTTGAATAAAATCGTGAAAATTCGACTGTATTATAAATAAGACCACTTTTTGATTCCAACATGATGCTTTTGTACAGAGAAAACAGGACAACTTTCATGTATTTTGATTTATGTTATAGGTGTACATTTGACCATCCGTTATCCCCTCAGCGCATGGGAATGGGAGAAATAATAGGTCGATTTTCTGGCTGTTAAATTTGGCAACAGGTTTGGTCGTTTGTTAATTCATGGCAATCTAGAAATTTGTTAAGTTCAAAATACTGTGGGTACATGTAATCATTATAGCTACACATACCTGTTGAATTGTGCGGATTTGCAAGAAAATAGAATATAAAATGTATTCCAACCAATTCCTCATCTCTCTTTACATCATAATAGTAATCATTTGTTATAAATTCATTCTTCAAAGCAATCAAAACAGTATGGTAGTCCCCATCCTAAAACACCGATATGTCTAAAACATGTTAATCCCTACATCTCCGAGGTGCATAATGCAATTACTGTAGACATAGACCTAAAATTATTGGTAAATACTGAAAAATAAGAGCTAACAAGAATTATAAATAGTGATAAAATATTGGTGGTTAAGGGTTTTGATTGGTAACTGGTGGGGATACAATATAGGGATGGCGACGATAGACGATACATTGATGTATCGAAAACATCGATACATCGGACGTAGAACATCGATCTTTACGCATCGATGGTTTCATGACGATATATCGATATCGAGAGGAATCATAAACATCCGTAACCGTATACCCCGAGTCTATCCTTAACTGTGCTACCATCTCTAAGCAAGGACTGGTAGCTTCGAAATTGAAGGGCCAGAAAGCTATTTAGGTGTTTAGTAGTATTTGAATATTATCATTACAGACGAGCACTGAGCCACTGAGTGGCCACTGAGCACTGTAGTCTTTTCTTCATTCTGTACTTCTCCAAGGGATAGAATAAAATAGACTGAAAACAGCGCGTTTAATGATTTTCAGTTCTCAGAGAAAGATTTTCCCCTGCCGACTCTTGACATCGTTTCGAAATATGAAATTCTGGAAACGCTATAAAAATAAAAATGAATACACAAAGCCTACTTACCTATTTTAGACAAAAACAAAAACAACTGCAATCTGTCAAAGTAGTGATGGGCGTGCCTGCTGCACGGTATAGGGTATCGATATTCGATAACATATTTTTCTTTCTACCATGGATGCGTGGAAAAAACAAAATAAGGAGAGATCTAAAATAAGGAGTTATTGAAGACCTAAAATAGCCAGGTGCTAATAATTCCTGGCCGTATTTGAATATCTAAGCAGGCACAGTAAAACAAAACTAAGACATGGAATTAATAAAGTTTATTTCGACAGTTCGCAGAGTTTGCTCCACTGGGACGAAGTGTTGACGGATCCCACAGAATTATGTGTCACTTGTCGATATGGTTAGTTTTAAAATATCATGAGATAATCAGCTGTTATTATACATATATTTGGGTATTTCTTAATCGCTGTGAATATAGTGTGGATGTTTGTTAAGTTCCTGAACAACGAAAAATATTCAACTTTATGGATGTATGGATATTAAAAAACCAGAATGGTTTTGTGGGAATAACAATCTAAGGTCCCATAATGGTTCTGATGAACGGCAAGTAAATGGATGAATGTTTGGATACGAGCAATATCTATGAACTTTTTGGTAGAGCCAGTCATCAAGTAGGTGCTTAATGGCTATCTGCAAGAGGTTTATAGGAAAAAACACCCAGTAGATGAGCTTGAATCAGTAAAATCGCATATCAATTGAAGAAAATAATATAAACATGAATAAAAAATCAACAATAGTAATTAAATCATGAATTTTATTCAAAAATCAAACATTTGCTTAAATTTTGACTGAATTATATGTAATTTCTTAATATTCAATTAGCTGATGATGTTTCAATGACAAGATGTCATCTCATACTTTGACAGTATTTTGTTTTCAACATTTCATAGCTATTGGCTTCTAAAATTTGTTGATTGGAACTTGAAGCTCATTCGCTGTATTTGACGGGCTGTTACCCTATAGGTTGAGAATAACAGACTGTGGTTGGTGAAATTGGCCCTTAGGCTCAGTTTGTATTGAAATAGCGATACTCTCAACAGAAAACATAAGACAATGCGTTTATTTTTATTTTGTTTATTGTCCGGTTCTCTTATCTGCGTCAGTTCAAGAGAGTGTTCGTCCCAGAGTGTTGATACAATGCAAATTATATGTTATGAGAGTCGGTCGGGGCCATGAGAAACTGTCCGTTTAAAGGAGGAGTCCGTGTAAGAGGTAATTTTACTGTAGATGGTTCAGTTTTAGCTATAATTTTACACTTTTTGTCGATTATGTTCATTATTTTCAATGTCTTTTTTTAGGGAGGCTTCCCGTTCAAACGCGATGCCACAGGCGCTGCAGGCGACAGGGACTTCCGAAGCCAACTAGATGACATAGCGAAACGCCATCCGGAATTCGCAGAGCACCTGGGCAAGTTCCAGCATCGCACACCGCAAAGCGCCGGCGCTGCGGACGATCCTGATCAGCACAGACGGTTCGAGAGGGTAGATCCGGACCTGCACAGAAGATTTGAGAGGCCCTTCGGGGATAGGTTCCAGCATTTCGGGTTCCCTTTCGACAGGGAGGATTTTGATCCGGAAGAATACGCCAAGCAGTTCTATCAGCAGAGACCGCAGGACTTCTATCCACAGGTCGGTAGAGTGCATTGACACGGTATGGAAAGAGGGACTCTACAGTTATTGGGTGTAGAATTTATGGAAAAAAGTTATAAATGATGAAATTCGTTAGTATTTTTATATATATATATAGGTGAAAAATTAAAGTTTCCGCCTTTTGTTGGGTACTTCGACAAAATTTAAGCAAAGAGGACTCTTTATACTTTTTTTAATTCTCTCTAGCTTTCAATGGACTTTGCCATCATCATCAGGAGCTGCAATTACAATGATAACAGTAGCAACAAAAGTGTAAAATGAATTTAAATTGAATCAACTTACAGTAGTATGTGAGGATGTTGCTAATTGTTGTTTTCGTATAGGAAGAGGGAAACGTCCAGTAACATGGTGAGAGCTGGATACATGGTACAATGGTTAAAATTATATAAAATATGACAAGACAAGTCAAAGACAGATTAAAAATTATTTAGTAAAAATATATATATATATATATATATATATATATATAATATTTTTACTTATTTCGATCGAGAATGACATTCTGAACTTGACAACGCCTCACTTGCCAATATTTGACAAATTAATTTTTATTTCAATTTATATTTTTTGATCTAGCATGCCGTAGATCCTGTAAATCGCTTCATTTTTGCTCAAGTAACACGAGAAAAATACGATTTTGAGGCGAACGACCTTACAGTCGTTTTAAAGATTTTCTAAAAGTTACAAACACTGATTTTTTTCAGTTTACTTGAATTTTTCAAATAGTCAGCTTTTTCTAAGAGACCATTTTCTTACGAATAATTTGACACTAGACACCCTTATTTTATTTTCACTATTTTTCTGAATAATTAATGTCATCCTAATACTTTGTATAAGATTTTTTGTTCTAATATCTAAATAGGGATAGCCAATCACTAAGCAATATGATATTTTTGAAAACAAGAAAGATTCACACAATTGCTTTCTCGCAGATTTATGTTATATAGCCTTATTTGCAAATAAAACTCTGAGAATAGCGTGGCACTGAGAAAAATTAGATGGTTTACGTTTTAACTTATCATCCATTATAATACCTAGGTTCCACGAATGATCCACAGGTACTATTTTATTACATTTTAAATTTATGTTCATGTCCTTTTTTAAAACATTCTTTTTTTATTTGTGTATACCAACATACAGGTATTTGTCTTTAAATGGCTCAAAAGAAGATTATGACTACTACTAAACTTTTCAATTTGGACAAGATCTTGATTAATTTTATTAGCTATTTCCAAGTCATTACTCCTAAACGAATAAAAAATCAGAGTGTCGTCCACAAAAAATTGTATACTGCATGATTTTACCTCTGTTTCTAAATTTGAGAATTTGAGAAAAAAGTAGTGTGCAATATTTTACCAGCGGTTTCTAGAGCTTAAAATAGGAAGAAAAGTTTATATAGTCAACGCCAAACAAAGTGGCGTGCACGTCATCACGATAAAAATTCCCCGACCTAATGCCTAGGTTTCTATCACAAACAATTGCTCTATTGCAGTTTCATATTAATGTGATATATAAATTGTAAAATGGTCATTACTCTCTTATTATGGTTAATAGTCATATAAACATTGTTATTAAAATATCACATAAGTTGCTTTCTGATAAATTTAGACGCATTATGCGAAATAAAATGTTTTGCAAACGCTCCAATCACTTATCGACATGTAAACGCACTAAACCGATTTCGCAGCGTTGACACATTATTACCTTGAAACTTATTTAAACTGGGAACTGACATTTGTATTAATTTTGACACTGAATCAATTTGTGGCATTTCAAATCTTTATAAATCCTTTGACCCCGCATACTGTAAATCAACAACTGTTTGTTTCAAAACAAAATTATTCATTTTACGAGTAGATAAAGGCAATTTTGGTATATAAAGATGCCCAAACAGTTAAATAGTCGGTGTAAGGAACTCGTGGCCTCGTTAATGCACTACTTTGAGCAAGAAAGGGACAACAACGGGCCTTTGTTGCCTTTAAATGCTGAACAAGTTACGATACAAACTTTATGGTCTCGATTAAGAGATAGGGCATTATTTGATGGTAGTGCCACGTCTTTAAGGCGGTTGCTTAGAGATCTTGGATTTAAGTGGCTTAAGGACAATCCGCGACGAGGGCTCATGGAACTACCAAGTATAGCTTTGAAAAGGGTGGAATTTCTAAGGCAATACAATCAAGCCAAGGTTGAGGCCTTATACCAGTTTGTCTTCCTCGATGAAACTTGGATATTTCAAAATGGGACCATAGGTCGCTCTTGGCAAAATGGAAACCAAAAAAGCGTGAAAGCTATTAAAACAGATGGTAAAAGGTATGTACTTTTACACAATTTGCACTATAAAATTTAAAACTAATATATTTTAGATACATTATATTACATGCTGGAAATGAAAATGGGTTTATTGAGGGTAGTGAAGCGATATTTTCTTCGAAAACAAAATTGAGCGATTACCATGGAGAGCTGAACCAGGACAATTTTTTGAAATGGTTTCAACATCAGTTATTAGAAAAATTGGACAGTCCATCTATGATTATACTGGATAACGCCCCTTATCACAGCATGATATTGAACAAAGTGCCCAACAATGCATGGACAAACAAAAATATCCAAGACTGGTTGACAAATCAAAACATACCATTTTTAAACACAATGTTTAAAACAGAGCTATTGAGTATTGTTGCTCGGTACATAATGCTTCTTAATTATATATATTTTGGTCGACAGTTTATATTTCTTTTGTTTATTCCTATTCTTAAAATAACTGCTTTTTTAGAAACAAACCACCTAAAATGTACGTGATTGATGAATTGGCGGAACAACATGGGCACACAGTTCTTCGTCTGCCTCCTTACCATTGTATATTTAACCCTATTGAGTTAATTTGGGGCATAGCAAAAGGTTACTATAACAGACATATTGGTAGAGATGGTAACAGTGAAAAAGACTGTTTGGATATGTGGAACGAGGCTCTACAAACGGTTACCCCAGACATGTGGAAAAATAGTGTTCGACATACTGAGCAAGAAATTTTTAAATGGTATGAAAGAGAACGAATTTTTGATCGACCAGACATCGAACCTTTAATAATCAACTTTGAGTGTGATGAAGATTCAGATTCAGACAGCGCTGAAGAAAGAAACTCCGACTAACTTTATTGTACAGAAAAAGCTTACACCAGTAGCTTACCTAATTTTAGAATGCATTTTTATGTATGAATTCTGTAAAATAAATACCATGCATAAAATTTGGAGGACTCCATTTGGGTTTTTATTCAGTACCTTTAAGCTATCAATTAAATATGGTAGTTTCATAGTGTCATCTGATCAATAATTGTCATACTTAATGATTATGCAAGTACAGATCTATAATTTTATTATACTATTATTTTTGTTCTCATTTGAGGTTAATATTGCTTATAAACCTAGATATGTAAATAATAAATTTTATTATTTTACAAAAAGTTTGGCAACAATGTAAATTTTTCAACACACCCACCTTGATGACGTGCACGCCACTTTGTTTGGCGTTGACTATACTCAACTTTGCCCCTATTTAAGCGACTTTGTATCTCTTACTGTTTCCGAGAGACCAATGGTGGGGTCGAATTTGAAACACCATGTATATGAAATTATTTTTTCATTGCAGCCGCAAGGGAGCAGTAGCAGCCACCAACAGCCACACGCTCCGCACTCGCCACCGCAACAGACCTACCAATCGCAACAATCCTACCAGCCACCGCCACAGCAACCATATCCTCAGCCGTATCAACCTTCACCTCCAAAGCAGAACCAGGAGACTCAAACCTCCCCTACCGAGCCGGTCCCTCCTACGCCTATCTACGAAAGGGAGAAGGGGAACATACAGCAAAGCAACTCGACGGATTTGGGACAGCAACAGGAGCCGGTGAATGATCGTACGCAGAGGAGCGCTTCTGAACCACCATCTGGAAAAGGTGAGTTTGGAATAAAGTTCATTTTAGAGGTTATTCTAGAGAGCTAAGATTTTACCATTGCTGACACCTCTGATATCCGCAGGCTGGCCAAGATACTGAGGCACGATTTAACTAAGCTGAGCCGCAAAGTTTACGCGTATGGCACAAATTCAACAAGTGTTTTGAATTTATGGATCTAATGATTATGGTCGATTTCTTGTAAAATCTAGAGAAAAATTACTCAGTTTGTGTTAAGATGGGATTTGTTTGTTTTAGATTTATTTAGCATTAATGCTACAATGTCCATAATATCCATATTACACAGTATGTCACAAAATATATTATGTCTTCAAGACTACATATTTTTATACAAAATTTTGGTTTTCCATGAGATATTTTTTCAATTCCCTTTGAACATTTTCAAACTGACACATATCTTGATACCATTACTTAATTTATTAAATTGGTACAATACTGACTTGCTCGTTATATTGCTACTGCAGTTTTGTCAATGAAAGTCTATACTTCCTCTAGTAGAATAATTGTGGTGCTCATTGTTCAGTACAATAAAATTTTCTAAGTGATTTGGTAAAAGATGATTTTTTAACTTGAATATGAAAATGAAAACCAAGTACGCTATGAAATTTTTGATATTTAACCATTGTAGTTCTTTCAGCATAAAATTTATTCTAGCATATTTATTTTTATGTAAGATGATTCTCATAGCTTTATTTTGTAATATTTGTAATTTTGAAAATACAGTTTCATTTGCACTGAACAAAATAGTCGAACAATACAACAAATGATAATTTTTTTATGATTAATTGTAAGATTTATCGTATTTTGATCTAAAGATTTTCCTATTAGCATATATTTTGTTTTCTTTGTGTTTAGTTTAAGTTTATTCACATTTAACCAGTTTATTACGTTTTTCATATCATTATTTAACTTCCATTGCAGTTTCAATGTCTTTATTATATATATATATATATATATATATATATATTGTAACTTGAAACGTGGTCATTGTCGTCTATACCAGTTAGGTGAAAAATTAAAGCTTCCGCCTTTTGTTGGGTACTTCGACAAAATTTAAGCAAAGAGGACTCTTTATACTTTTTTTAATTCTCTCTAGCTTTCAATGGACTTTGCCATCATCATCAGGAGCTGCAATTACAATGATAACAGTAGCAACAAAAGTGTAAAATGAATTTAAATTGAATCAACTTACAGTAGTATGTGAGGATGTTGCTAATTGTTGTTTTTTTCTTTTTTTTCCCTCATCCTATACGAAAACAACAATTAGCAACATCCTCACATACTACTGTAAGTTGAGTCAATTTAAATTCATTTTACACTTTTGTTGCTACTGTTATCATTGTAATTGCAGCTCCTGATGATGATGGCAAAGTCCATTGAAAGCTAGAGAGAATTAAAAAAGTATAAAGAGTCATCTTTGCTTAAATTTTGTCGAAGTACCCAACAAAAGGCGGAAGCTTTAATTTTTCACCTATATATATATCATCAGCAAATAGTTGAATTTTGCAGTGTTGTAGAACATCAGGAATATCGTTAATATATAAAATAGATAGTAATGGACCTAATTTGCTACCCTGTGGCACACCTACCGAAATGTTTTTAATGCTTGATAATGAATTGCAAATTTAGATCTTTGACTTCTATTGATTAAATAATTTTGTAATCAGTTTCGTTAACAATTTCTCCCTGTCAAAAGTCTCAAATGCTCTCTTGAAATCCAAGAACAATGTTTCTGTTAGCTTTTTTCATCCATATTTCGCCTCCATTATTGCTGTTACAGTAGAATACTTTTTTCTGAATCCTGCTTGAAATTTTGTTAATATCTTATTTGCTTCAATATATTCAATGACTTGTTCATATCACATCTAAGAGCTTCTGGACATCTGGCAGTACATTAATTGGCCGCATGTTTGTATATAATTCAGAATTTTGCACTCATGGAACAGGAGTAATTGTAGAACATTTTAATTTTGAAGGAAATTTGCCATACACGAAACGGTGATTCACTAACAATAATAACTTCTCTCCAATAATGTTGAAACATTCCTTGGTAACCATTTTTGAAAGATGTTCACTAGGATTTCTATTCGATTCCAATCTTGTAATAGCTTTTGAAAGATGGCTGATTTTTATTGTTTGTCCAACGAAAAGGTCGCACCCCTACTTGTGACTCCTGGTATATTTCGGATACGTCCATTTTGATTTCTACCAACCCCAAGTTTTTTTTAATCTTTAGATTATCAATGAAGTTTTTAGTAAGTTTTGTATAATAAAGTTTATACCTATGTATATTCAATCGTTAGCTATTTTTTATAATGTTCAAGCGTTACGATTACGGTGAATATTAGACACAGATCAAGTTTCTTAAAATTTTCTCATCAACGATCAGTATCGTTAATATTTTTGTCTGGATGTAACGCATTAAACAAGCGGGCAGTAGCTCTTGCAATGCCCCCATTTTGGTAATACAGTGTTGTAATTTCTACACTTTCTTGAATTGAATAAGTCATTGTTCAACATTTATCACAGCTAGGTAGGTAAGTTAACATTTTGAAATGAAAGAAAGTTTTTCTATGGCATACGATGACACTGACTGATGCTAAATGTGCTTGCATTATTATCAGTATTAAGTTAGTAGAATTTTATTATAAACTCGAATAGCTTCACAACGATTGAATAAAGGTATAAACTTTATTATACAAAAGTTACTAAAAATTTCATGGAAAATCTAAAAATTAAAAAAAATGGGAGTTTCCATTGGATCACCTTGTATTGTACTGTAAATATATCAGGAGAGTCATAACTAGAGGTGCGACCGTTTCGTTGGGTCACCCAGTATATAACTATATATATATATATATATGGCGAGTTTCTGCAACCCAAGGTCGCTTCTCGCAACCCATACGCCATCGTATCCTATCGTTCCAGTCTCCTTCATGTAGTCCTCTACTTTCCATTGCGGTATGGATGTTTGAAATCCATTTCCTTCGTGGTCTTCCTCGTTTATTTCTTTGTGCTGGTGTCCATTTCCAAACCCTTAATGGTATCCTTTCTTCGTTCATTCGTTGCAGGTGTCCATACCATTTTAACTGCCTCTCTGTTATATCGTCCATTATTGTATTTTCGACTTCCATTCTTTCTCTGATGGTCTCATTTCTAACATGACCATGTTAGTAAAGTTAAACCGGAACATCTTCTCCAGTACATCATTTCGGTTGAGAGAAGCTTTTGTGACATATTTTTATCTACAACCCACGCTTCTGACCCATACGTCAGTACTGGCTGAATCATAGCCTGATATATAATTTTTTTTGTTTTCTTTGTTAGGTTCTTACTCCACAAGATCGGATGTAGTGCTTTAATCATATTTTTTCCTTTTCCTATTTTCCTTAGTATGTCTTTATTATCCTTTCCGCTTTCATCTATTGTAACTCCTAGGTACTGGTACTGTCCCACGTTTTCTATTTTTCCGCTTTTTGTTTCGATGTCTTGTCCTGTGCCTCCTATAGTCATGTATTGTGTCTTTTGTATATTTATCTCCAAACCCCATTTAGTGAATTCTTCTATAAGTTTGTTTATCATGTAAGTCATGTCTTGCTGGTCTACTGCAAAGACTACCTGATCATCTGCAAAGAGGATTGTATACAAGTGAAAGTCCTCTAACCATATCCCCATGGGGCTGCACTTTCTTATCCACTGTTTTAAAGCGCTGCAGAGATAAATTTTAAACAGGGTTGGAGAGAGGCAGGAGCCCTGCTTAACACCTTTTGTTTGTGGGAAAGCCTCAGAAATTTGATTTCCGACTTTAACGACCACTTGATTTTCTCTATACATTGCTTTTACGGCGTTTATGTATTTGCTATTTATGCCTGCTTCTTTCATTGCGATCCATAATTTCTGCAAAGGGACGGAGTCGAATGCCTTGCGGAGATCTATAAAAGTAGCGTGTAGCTCCATTCCTCTTGCTAATCTCTTTTCTGTCAGTTGTTTTATTGTAAATATGTTGTCGACACAGAATCGCCCAGGTCGAAATCCACTTTGTACTTCAATTTCCGTGGCTTCTTCTTCTATTCGGGCTGTTAGGACTCTTTCGTACAGCTTTCCGATGGACGATGTAATACTAATACCCCGATAATTACTACAGTCACTCCTGTTTCCCTTTTTATAAATGGAATTTATGTAAGAGCTCCTACAATCTCTGGGAATCGTTTCCCCTTCCAGGCACTTGTTAAAAATTACACAAAGTAGCTCGTGCGTTCTTGTGGTGGCGTGTTTAATTAACTCGATAGGCAAATCCCCCGGTCCCAGAGCTTTATTATTTTTCATTTTTTGTAATGCTGTTTTTATTTCTTCTAATTGAATGGTATCTACTCTGTTAACTCCAGTTTGATCTATATCTAGTTGCGTGTCTAAATACTCTCCACGTTGTTCTGCCAGTAGATTATTGTAGTAGTCTTTCCACTGTTCTATTTTTATGGGATTTATTTTTCTTCTTTCATTCGTGTTTGTTTTAAGACCATTTATAGTTCGCCAAGCTTCTCTAGACCTAGATCCTCCTACCATTGAGCTAATTTCAGCACATTTGGTTTCCCATGTTTTGTTTTTTATTTTTTTAATTTCTTTTTTTACTATATATTTAAAACGATTATAGCTTTTTCGATCTTCATCGTCTTTTGTAGTTAACCATTTAAGATACAAGTTGGGTTAAATCGTCCGTCCACCAAGAATGTTTGTGTTCCGTTCTATCTTTAACACCAAGGGCTTCTAGTGCTGCTTCGTGAATTTTGTGTTTCAAAGTTTCATACATTTCTTCTGCCTTGCCGTTAATATCTTCGTCCAGTTTTTGTGCTAAACGTAGTTTGTAAAGGAAACTGGTGGATTCATCCCTTAAGCTGTCTATGTTATATCGCTTTGTGGGTTTTCCATTGTTATTTTGTTCTTGATATATGAGATGTTTCAGTATATAACTACAATGCAAAAAACCTTGCTTCTTTCCACTTTATGCTCAACGCATTTTCAGAGCCGATTTCGCTGGCTTAACAGGGATTCGGCTCGCGCCCTCTACTGGACGGTGGAACGACTACGCCATCTGTAACCCTACTCTGGCGCTGTGACATACAAATCCTCATTCTTTCAGGTCAACGGTATACGTCGAGCGTGAATATCCCCGTGAATCAACCTCAACAGAGCAACATGTCGAGCAACCAATCCGAAAGCAAGGAGCGGATCATTCCGATTCACATCGAGGGTAGAGATGAGCCTTTTATGCCGAAAACGGTGCCGCCGACGTTCGCGCAGGCGCATCCGCATCCGCAGGCCGAGCCGATGTACAACCAGGCGCACTTCAACAGGTAGGTTGTTGATTATTTGCATCCGACAGTTTGAAACCTTCTGCTATTCAGAGGCGGCGGAAAATTTAAATTATATTACAAAATTCAAGACCTATGCTCATTTCTAGACATTGTTTTGAGGGAATGAAAATTGTAGGTGGGAAGATGTATGCGGTATGCATTCTCACGAAATTATATTGATAAGTAATAAGAAAAAAATCAATACAGATGAATACACTCCAGTATATGTCTAGGTATCGACAAAATGAGATGATCGATGTCGGTTGTGGCACCTCATTATCGTATCCCACACATGTCCGATGGGATTTAAATCCACAGCAATATATAACTTGAGACGTGGTCATTGTCGTTTAGACCAGTTAAGTGAAAAATAAAGCTTCCGCCTTTTGTTGGTTACTTCGACAAAATTCAAGCAAAAAGGACTCTTTATACTTTATTAATCTCTATCTTTCAATGGACTTTGCCATCTTCATCAGCAGCTGCAATAACATTGAGAAGAAATAGCAACTATAGTGCAAAATGATTTTAAATTAACTTACAGTTGTATGTGAGATTGTTGCTAAATGTTATTAACTTTTAAGTTGAGAAACAACCAGTAACCCCAAATTTCGACTTTTCACAACCATAAATGGAATCTGTGTTTTGGTCTATTCCACCCTTTCCCTCCAAAATTTCCATTCCATTCAAGTTTGAATAATTGGTTTTTACTCATAATAAAATAATAATTGTTTAATTCAATTGCTCATCTCATCAACAATACAGTTTGTTCAACTGTCTCTGGTCTGCTGACAAGTTCTTATTTAATATATCTTGATAAATAACACCATCTGAAATGATTTGGCAACATAGTACTTTACAAATTTTCGTTCCATCTATCGACACTGACACCACCAACTTTCTGTCACCATCTTATGCAGCATCAGGTGGTTCACGATGTAATTTTAACTTTCGTTTTAAATATTTTTAATCCGTTTTAATTTGTTCCTGACATACAGCTGTGTCTAGTTTATATTAACTTTGACGAATGTACCATGTATCCAGCATTCACCAGGTTACTGGTTGTTTCACCCAACCTAAACGTTAATACCATTTAGCAACAATCTCACATACGACTGTCAGTTAATTTAAAATCATTTTGCACAATAGTTGCTATTTCTTCTCAATTTTATTGCAGTTCCTGATGAAGATGGCAAAGTCCATTGAAAGCTAGAGATTAATAAAGTATAAAGAGTCCTTTTTGCTTGACTTTTGTCGAAGTACCCAACAAAAGGCGGAAGATGATATATGGGGTTGTCCAAAACCGACGCAGGAAAGTAAACGCATATTAAAATAAGAAAGATTGATATTCAAATCAAGTTGGGTACTTTATTTTGAAGGTTCATTTATACCATTTATGTATGAAAAATAATATCGCTCAAATGTTCACCACGACTGGATTTACAGACGTCCACGCGATGGTCGAAATTTTCAAAGACATTTTGCAACATGGTCGATTCTATGGCATTTATCTCGGCAATGATGTTGTTTTTGAGTTCTTGGAGGGTGGCTGGTTTGTTGACGTAGACTTTTCTTTTCAAATATCCCCATAAAAAGAACTCCAAGGGAGTCAAATCGCACCATCTTGGTGGCCATGGCACATTTCCTCTGCGCGAAATCACGCGATCACCGAAGAAGGACTGCAATCGATGGATATTGACGTTGGTTGTGTGGCATGTTGCACCGTCTTGTTGGAAATAAACATCGTCCATATCCATTCCTTCAAGTTGCGGCAAAAAATAGTCCTCTATCATCACGTGATATCGCTCAGAATTGACGGTAACGGCGTCCCCGGCCGCATTTTCGAAAAAGTAAGGTCCGATGATGCCTTTTGACCACAATGCACACCACACAGTCACTTTTCGAGGATGCATCGGCTGCTCTTGATACTCACGGGGATTTTCGTTCGCCCAGATGCGGCAGTTTTGCTTGTTTACCGTCCCATTCAAAGTGAAATGCGCTTCGTCGCTGAACATGATTTTTGATGAAAAATTGGCATCAATTTGGCGGTGTTCAAGGAGCCAATCTGAGAACGTTCGGCGCGAAAAATGGTCGGCTCGACGCAGCTCTTGCGTCAATTGGATCTTGTAGGCGTGTACATTCAAATCCTTGTGGAGAATGCGGAGCAAACTGGTTCTCGAAATGCCCAATTCTTGGGATCGACGCGTCGTTGATTGTTTCGGATCGTCTCTCACACTCTCCTTCACAACAGCAATATTTTCCGGTGTGCGAACGCTCCTTGGCCGGCCAGAGCCTGGCAGATTTGCCACAGAACCTGTTGCCTCGAATTTACGCACCAGACGACCGATGGTTGTTTCGTTTGGGCGGTTGTTGCGACCGAAATGTTCACGAAGCGCGCGAAACGTGTTTTTTTCATTTTTGCACCATTTTTGTAGTGCTCTTGAATGACTTTAATGCGGTCTTCAATCGAATACGACTCCATAGCGATCAATGGTAAACATTCAACTAACAAAATGACATGTCGGTGACAGAAAACAAAGATGGCGTCTATGTCAAATTGACGTTTACTTTCCTGCGTCCCTATTGGACAACCCTATATATATATATAAAAACAAGTTGAAATTATTTTTCTGGGTATTACACTTCTAATGTCATTGAGTATAGTTTGATATGCAGAGGTCTAAGATTCATCTTTTGAAACTATTTGACCCATCCCTTTTTTTAAACCTCCAACGAAGGCGTAGGAGGTATAGAGTCAATCAACTTGAGGCCATTTTTTACGGATTCGAAAGAAGTTAGCAACATTTATCGCGTTGTTCTTTTATCAGGCGATGCTTTTTAAATACCATTATGAATAGTTATCAGGATAGTTCACCATATGATAGGTTGAGCGTGGTGAATATGACGATAAAAAGTTACCATTAATTATAATAATCTTTATTGATGTTGGGCATGCAAAAGCACTCGCATAGAGTACAGTGCACAAAAAGTACCAACTCAGCATAAAGCTAAATAAAAACCAGACGCATTCAAAAGATAAAAATATAGACAAGTAATTACACTAAAATATATAGGTATATAAAAAGATATATAATCAATACAATATATGTCACTGGAGTCATTGACTAGAACGCTTTCATAGTTATAAAAAGCTTTCGGCTTTAGGTATGATGCACTAAATAATTTGATACGGTAATAATTATGCCCATCCCTGGATCTGTCGATCCTACTGTAGGGTTGGACTTATAATTATGGTGTTCAGTGTCATAGTTGTGGAACCTGAGGTTCCTGTCATAGTTATCAACGTTTTCTAACAGGCACTCTATGGATATACGCACAGGGTGGTGTTAATACATCCATATTTCTATAAACACTGTTCCCTACAATCGTTCCGATATAGCGTGTTCGAGATGTCCCTGATGCATTTCCTCTGGGCAGCAAACACTTCTGAGAAGCTGGCTGAGTTATCCCACAATAACCCCATGAGTATGGAAATAGCTGTAGTACGCTTTTGTTGAGTTTGGAAATCAATTGTTAAGTGTGTTCATGCCGTGGGAGACCGCTATCTAAGTGCAGTCTTTACTACTGACTCATTGTCGTTGTTAAAATTCTTAGTCTTCTACTATTGTGTAAGAGATGACATTAGAAATATAACGATAAGCGTAAAAACAACAATTCCACCTTACAAGCGTTCGAAGTTCTACCCTGTACCTTTTCACTTTTATTACGAGAGTAGTACATACACAACTTAACAAGGGCTTCAATGTCAGGATAATTTTAAAGCCACTTACTTGGTCACGTTAACGACAGGGGAGTTGTTCTTGCTTGGCGAGAGATACGGTCGCTAGAACTGGGTTGTCGGGGGCCAAGGCTATTTTTAAGAAAAACCTTTTGAGTACCTTCCATATTCTACCGACTCATGACATGCACAATTCTACTGTCTATTGATTATGTTAATTAGCTGTGTCAATACTGATCACAAAACAATATAATAATGGCCATGATATTTCTCAATTATATTATTATAAATTACATTACATTGCATGGGGGAACGGTAGCTTCCTACCGCATGGAAGCCACGCCTGTTATGGAAATACAGGGTGACTTCGAAGTTGAGTCATTTATTTTAACAGTGAGTAGATCTGATCAAAAGAAATGTTTTTTCCTTTAACATTTTTGTGGTAAAATTAAAGTAACAAAGTGATAGCCCTTCAGAAGTTTGAGTACCGCCCTGTCTCAATAATATTATGTGCTCGTGTTTGGCAACAACGGATTTTACAGGGTGACTCACATGCAGAAAAGTGTCTAAAATATTGTGTATGCTTACAATTGCGATCTTGACCTTCGTGTGTTTCCTCCAGGAACGCCTTCGGCGATGGGCACTTCCCTAAGACCGAGATTCCCATCCCGGTGCAAACCGAGCACCCGGCCAAGCCCCACCATCACCACCAGGGGCAACAAACTGCCCACTTCCCAAAGGGCGAGATCCCTATCCCCGTGCAAAGGGAATTCAGCCCTGCCAGGCAACAGCAACAGCCCCAGGCGCACCAGCAGACCCCGCAGCCGCAAGCGGCCCCCCAACAGCCCCAGCAAGAGGCACCGCAACAGCAACAACAAGAGAAGGCTAAGCAGCAGCCTCAAGGGCCTATAGAGCAGATACAGTGCATCCAGAAGGACGTGTCTGATCTCATGAAGCAAGTTGAAGTATTTGCAGGTAGGTTGAATGTTTTTTTTTTTAAATAGCTATTAGGGTGTACCGTGTTCGAATTGAGATACGCATATCCTCTAATTTTTTTTCCATTTGACTCTAACAACTCAAAAAATAAATATTATTGCGATCAGGGAACGACAACCCGTGCCGACTTTCAATACCTAATTCTTATTCGACAAATAAAACCCTGCTTTATTTCTCGTAGATATTTATCATTAAAAGAACATTATCCACTAATTTTCTTTTCAAAGTTTTCTTTTTACTGTCAGGATATACCTGCGTGTGTTGTTGTACGCAACGTAATAAAAACTGTTTTTGTTCCTCATCAGCAGTGCTTAACTTGATTGCTCTTTCTGCAGTATCCTTAACTGCCCTAGGTGTTTGCACCTTATTCTTAGCGAAACATTATGTGGCCATGATGTTGGACACTCATCAAGAAAACTGTCATCAATTTTGAATCTACTGAACAAGGACTCGCTTTGAAATGAAAAAACGAAGAATATACTAAGTGACATATAAATCCGAACACCCAGGTTTTATTTTAATAAAAGTTGGTGAATGTATTTATCTTACTGTAAATAACAAGTGAAAAAATGTTCAGCCTTATCAGTTGGACATTCCGGTTTTTATAATGCTTTTTTTTAATTCACTAACGCTCTAAAAATGAATATTTCAGCCGCAGTAAAGAATCAACGTTGGCGGATTTTGGTTCTTGACATCCTTTACGATCGGTTACGATGCCTAGAGTACGGAGACCTGTACGATTTCGTCAACTTAGTGAGTTTGATAGGGGCCGTATAGTGGGACTTCGGGAAGCTGGACTTTCTTTTCGGGCAATTGCAGTTAGAGTGCAAAGAAGTGTAGACACTGTGGTTAGGTGTTGTCAGGCATGGCTTCGAGAAGGCCGTACGCAAAGAGCAAGGAGCACTGGACGCCGCCGTAGAACAACAGACCGTGAAGATCGCCGCCTAAGATTATTGGCCTTAAGGGACCGTTTCTCCACTACCAGGTCCATTGCAAATGAAGGATTTGCAGAACACGGAAGACCTATTGGCATGCGAAGTGTTTACCGACGAATGAGAAGTTTTGGCTTGTTTTCATACCGGCCACACTGGGTCCTCCCTTTAACTCGAGAACACCGACGTAATCGCCTTGAGTGGTGGACAACGGTCACTTTGGGATCAGGAATGGAACAGTATTGTCTTTAGTGATGAGTCTCGATTTTGTTTATGCATGCACGATGGTCGTGCCAGGGTTAGAAGGCAACGTGGTGAAAGGAGGAATCCACAGTTTTTTGTTGAAAGACATGTTCATCACACTGTTGGAGTTATGGTTTGGGGTGCTATAGCTTATGGTTCCAGGTCACCTTTAATCTTCATCAGAGGTAACATGAACGCGCAGCGTTATATCCACGAAGTTCTAGAACCCCATCTTTTACCCTATCTTGACACCCTGGCAGATCCAACTTTCCAACAAGATAATGCCCGACCACATGTTGCAAGAGTCACAATAGACTCTTTCAACATAATGATGTCACATTGTTACCATGGCCACCAAGATCTCCCGACTTATCCCCAATTGAGCAAGTGTGGGATATGATGGGTAGGAGATTGCTCAATTTGCAACGTCCTCCTCAGACTCTAGAAGCACTTCGAGAAGAGTTGGTGGTTGCCTGGAATGAGATACCTCAGGAGGACATTGACCACCTGATCAGAAGCATGCCTAGGCGCGTTGGAGAATGCGTAGCACATCAGGGTGCATCCACACATTATTAAAGGTCAAAGGGCTTTAAAGCAGTGCAATCATTTTGAAATTTTTATCATTTACTTATTATGCTTCATCAAGTACTTATACAAAATTTTATTAAAATAAAACCATTTAAACTGGGTGTTCGGATTTATATGTCACTTAGTATAGCTACCATCTTAACATACTGGTTTTGTCCGTCCGACCAGACAGTCAACCGTTGACAGATGTTTTGTGCTTTTTGGCAACTCATCGGCATCGTCTAGGCTAGACCTCAGGTTTAACTAACCTCTATCTGAAGTATAAGATCTATCCAAACAAGACAATAAGGTGGCAGAATCGCAGTTTATTTGGCTCAGTTTAACAGTTGCATTATATCGAAGCAGAAAAAAAGACAAGTGAAAATTTATTCATCAGACTTACCATAAAGGGAGAAAGAAAGTTCTGTTGTGGGATGTAGCGTTTACCGTGGGCAAATTGACTTTCTTTGGTTAAATTAGCAACAATGTTTAGTTTCCTTATTTACCTCGTCGTCAAACAGAAATACCATAAATGTTGGCAGAACTTACGTAAAGCTCCTTTTGAAATGGTTTTGTCGATTCTTTCGTCAGCCTTCATTCGCTTTAAAAAGCATAAATCCTGGTTAGGTTCTTTTACCGCTAAATCCTTATCCTTATTAGAAAGTTTGAGCTGGGAACTTATTAACGCTATGTTTAATCAATACAGGGTGTCCGCAAAGTTGGGGTTTTCCTTTTCAGAAACAACTACCCTTGAAATAACAAAGGTAATGTTTAGTGAAACGAGGGCGACCAAGTAAAAAAAATAAAGAAAAAAGTACTCACTCTCCAGTTGACGAGAAGGGCTAAGTACGTCTCTGCCCGCTCCAACAGAAAATGAAATTAGCTGATGCGCTACCGAGCAGACGCCGGTGGTGGTGCAGGCCAGTAGACTACGAACAGAGGTAACAAATATGACCACCGTGCAGAAACCACATTGATTGTCTTACACTTAATGGCACATCTTCTAACAAGGAAGGCAAAATGTTGCGTAAAAAGTCTAGATATTGCATCCCGTCCAATCGATTTGGGAGAATAAATGGTCCAATGAGCATACCGTTCACCATGCCAGCCCAAACATTCACCGAAAATGTTTGTTGAAAATGTGCCCGACGGACAGCGTGCGGATTTTCTACTGACCAAACATGAGTGTTGCGAAAGTTATTCACCCCATTTCGCGTGAACGTAGATTCGTCTGTCACCAATATGCACTTCAAAAAGTCCGGATTATTGACATGTTGATGCAACAACCACTCACAAAACCGCACTCTTGCTGGAAAATCGTCAGGTTGAAGGGCTTGTACACGTTGGACGTGAAACGGATACAGCCCCTCTTCACGCAGCGTTTGCCACACTTTAGTTTTTGATACTTGCACTTCTCTAGCCACGTCTCTAGTGCTTGTTGTTTTTTGAAACGCAATCGATTATACGGGTTCGTTTACCTCTACACGCGTGACCGTAACCGTCGGTTGAAGGTTGCATACTGACCTGACACACTGACCCCGACCCCCGACCCAGTTCTGTCGTCGGGTTGAGCTAGTGTCCTAGTACCAGTCGGGGATGTCGCGAGTTGCTGCTACAGGACGGTATTCAGATATTTTTTATGTTGCAGATCCCTTTATCTCGGTTCCCTTAAGACATTGGTATATATGGTACTAAGAAAAATTGCTTATGTTTTCAAGATCTACACGTCGTGTAAAGGAAAACCCCAACTTTGCGGACACCCTGTATATTGCTCTGGTCGAATCTTAATTTTTTCTCTGTATCTCCGCCAAGAAATATTGAAAGTTCTACGAGTATTAATTCTCGATGGTCGTCTCTAGCAACTTCTTTGGTCAATTCATGTCGATAAAATTCCAGCAGCTTGTCAGTCTCTGAATTATTCAGGCATGATAGTTTTTCTGTATAAATCTAAACTAAAACTTTTTAAACATGGCATGTCAGTGCTTGTAGTCACTTGGTCGAAATATTTCCTTTTAACACCAATTCGTAGACGTGATGGCGGCAAGCGAAAATAAGCATTTCTTTGTTAAGTTTCTGTTCGAGAAGCACGGAAGCACCGTTAAAGCGACCCGTATTTGAAGCAGTAGTACCACGACAGAGAATCTGAACTTTATCATCAAGATTCCAATCAAGAATAGCAAGTTTTCCAATTTGGGATAGCGATAAATTGCTCTTTCGTTGTAACAATCGGTAGACGTTCTTCTCTTCTCACTCAAGTGCATTTAAAGGTGGCGACGATTTGCCATCCGAGTTGACAGTTACAGTATCTAGTACCCCGCTTTGGAAATCAAGCTTTACAGCTTTTGTGCGCTTCTTTCGCTTTTCGGTACGAATTCTTTGAATGGAAGACTTGCTTATAGGAAACTCGTCAGTCCAAGTGCCTCCTTCAATCATAAAAACAGCACTTCGCATGCTTAACTGACACCTATCTAATGCTGCTACTAATTTTGGAGCTATGAAAGTTTTCCTCATTTGAGTTTGATTAGCATCAGCCTGTGTGCTCTGACTTGGGATGGGCAGTTTCTTGTAAAGCTATCTCGGAATCTGAACATGAATTTTCTTGCGCTGGTTCGTAGGATAATGTCGACAGAGTTAAGGAAGCAACATATTTAGCTCGCTGCTTTTTTTCTTCGATGTTCCGTAGACGCGCCTTTTCTTCTTTTATGGCTAATTTCTTGTCCACCCCAGCTAAATGACCAGGTCGACCTAGAGCTGCGGCTGCAAGAAGAATCTTATTTCCAAATAAAAAAAACAAATATCTTCATAGTGAATTAATGACAGTCCATTCATATGTTTATTCGACTACATTACCAATTAAATATTTTTTTGAGAAGCATGTTTAAAGGACATTCAGATAATTTACCGATTTACCAGTGCTCATTAGCGGAAGAGCTATGGTATCACAATGGAGGTGCTCTACAATAAACTTGAGTCGAAGCTTAATAATGTTAAAACGCGAGATTTGTGCATCAGATTAGATATAGCGTATCTCCTGGTGCAATATATAAGTGACATATAAATCCGAACACCCAGTTTAAATGGTTTTATTTTAATAAAATTTCAAAATGATTGCACTGCTTTAAAGCCCTTTGGCCTTTAATAATGTGTGGATGCACCCTGATGTGCCGCGCATTCTCCAACGCGCCTAGGCATGCTTCTGATCAGGTGGTCAATGTCCTCCTGTGGTATCTCATTCCAGGCAACCACCAACTCCTCTCGAAGTGCTTCTAGAGTCTGAGGAGGACGTTGCAAATTGAGCAATCTCCTACCCATCATATCCCACACGTGCTCAATTGGGGATAAGTCGGGAGATCTTGGTGGCCATGGTAACAATGTGACATCATTATGTTGAGAGAAGTCTATTGTGACTCTTGCAACATGTGGTCGGGCATTATCTTGTTGGAAAGTTGGATCTGCCAGGGTGTCAAGATGGGGTAAAAGATGGGGTTCTAGAACTTCGTGGATATAACGCTGCGCGTTCATGTTACCTCTGATGAAGATTAAAGCTGACCTGGCACCATAAGCTATAGCACCCCAAACAATAACTCCAACAGTGTGATGAACATGTCTTTCAACAAAAAACTGTGGATTCCTCCTTTCACCACGTCGCCTTCTAATCCTGGCACGACCATCGTGCATGCCTAAACAAAATCGAGACTCGTCACTAAAGACAATACTTTTCCATTCCTGATCCCAGAGTGACCGTTGTCTGCACCACTCAAGGCGATTACGTCGGTGTTCTCGAGTTAAAGGGAGGACCCAGTGTGGCCGGTATGAAAACAAGCCAAAACTTCTCATTCGTCGGCAAACACTTCGCATGCCAATAGGTCTTCCGTGTTCTGCAAACCATTCATTTGCAATGGACCTGGTAGTGGAGAAACGGTCCCTTAAGGTCAATAATCTTAGGCGGCGATCTTCACGGTTTGTTGTTCTACGGCGGCGTCCAGTGCCCCTTGCTCTTTGCGTACGGCCTTCTCGAAGCCACGCCTGACAACACCTAACCACAGTGTCTACACTTCTTTGCACTCTAACTGCAATTGCCCGAAAAGAAAGTCCAGCTTCCCGAAGTCCCACTATACGGCCCCTATCAAACTCACTAAGTTGACGAAATCGTACAGGTCTCCGTACTCTAGGCATCGTAACCGATCGTAAAGGATGTCAAGAACCAAAATCCGCCAACGTTGATTCTTTACTGCGGCTGAAATATTCATTTTTAGAGCGTTAGTGAATTAAAAAAAAGCAGTATAAAAACCGGAATGTCCAACTGATAAGGCTGAAAATTTTTTCACTTGTTATTTACAGTAAGATAAATACATTCACCAACTTTTATTAAAATAAAACCATTTAAACTGGGTGTTCGGATTTATATGTCACTTAGTATATTTAGCTCGCTGCTTTTTTTATTCGGTGTTCCGTAGACGCGCCTTTTCTTCTTTTATGGCTAATTTCTTGTCCACCCCAGCTAAATGACCTGGTCGACGTAGAGCTGCCGCTGCAAGAAGAATCTTATATCCAAATAAAAAAATATATATCTTCATAGTGAATTAAGACTTGAAAATGACAGCCCATTCATATGTTTATTCGACTACATTACCAATTAAATATTTTTTGAGAAGCTTGTTTAAAGGACATTCAGATAATTTACCGATTTACCAGTGCTCATTAGCGGAAGAGCTATGGTATCAAAATGGAGGTGCTCTACAATAAACTTGAGTCGAAGCTTAATAATATTAAAACGCGAGATGTGTGCATCAGATTAGATATAGCGTATCTCCTGGTGCAATATATACTAAGTGACATATAAATCCGAACACCCAGTTTAAATGGTTTTATTTTAATAAAATTTTGTATAAGTACTTAATGAAGCATAATAAGTAAATGATAAAAATTTCAAAATGATTGCAATGCTTTAAAGCCCTTTGACCTTTAATAATGTGTGGATGCACCCTGATGTACTACGCATTCTCCAACGCGCCTAGGCATGCTTCTGATCAGGTGGTCAATGTCCTCCTGTGGTATCTCATTCCAGGCAACCACCACCTCCTCTCGATGTGCTTCTAGAGTCTGAGGAGGACGTTGCAAATTGAGAAATCTCCTACCCATCATATCCCACACGCGCTCAATTGGGGATAAGTCGGGAGATCTTGGTGGCCATGGTGACAATGTGACATCATTATGTTGAAAGAAGTCTATTGTGACTCTTGCAACATGTGGTCGGGCATTATCTTGTCGGAAAGTTGGAGCTGCCAGGGTGTCAAGATAGGGTAAAAGATGGGGTTCTAGAACTTCGTGGATATAACGCTGCGCGTTCATGTTACCTCTGATGAAGATTAAAGGTGACCTGGAACCATAAGCTATAGCACCCCAAACCATAACTCCAACAGTGTGATGAACATGTCTTTCAACAAAAAACTGTGGATTCCTCCTTTCACCACGTCGCCTTCTAACCCTGGCACGACCATCGTGCATGCCTAAACAAAATCGAGACTCGTCACTAAAGACAATACTGTTCCATTCCTGATCCCAGAGTGACCGTTGTCTGCACCACTCAAGGCGATTACGTCGGTGTTCTCGAGTTAAAGGGAGGACCCAGTGTGGCCGGTATGAAAACAAGCCAAAACTTCTCATTCGTCGGCAAACACTTCGCATGCCAATAGGTCTTCCGTGTTATGCAAATCATTCATTCGCAATGGACCTGGTAGTGGAGAAACGGTCCCTTAAGGCCAATAATCTTAGGCGGCGATCTTCACGGTCTGTTGTTCTACGGCGGCGTCCAGTGCCCCTTGCTCTTTGCGTACGGCCTTCTCGAAGCCATGCCTGACAGCACCTAACCACAGTGTCTACACTTCTTTGCACTCTAACTGCAATTGCCCGAAAAGAAAGTCCAGCTTCCCGAAGTCCCACTATACGGCCCCTATCAAACTCACCAAGTTGACGAAATCGTACAGGTCTCCGTACTCTAGGCATCGTAACCGATCGTAAAGTACTGCGGCTGAAATATCCATTTTTAGAGCGTTAGTGAATTAAAAAAAAGCAGTATAAAAACCGGAATGTCCAAGTGATAAGGCTGAACATTTTTTCACTTGTTATTTACAGTAACATAAATACATTCACCAACTTTTATTAAAATAAAACCATTTAAACTGGGTGTTCGGATTTATATGTCACCTAGTATATGAATTCTTGGTGTTCCAGAACTAAGGGATCAAACTTGTAGGGATTATTCAGTGTAACAGTAGAAAACATTTGAGTATAGGGACCCATATCCGGAAAAGTATTACTACAGCCCTAAGACGATGAATTGCCTAAATAGGATTGAATGCATTTTCTTTTTGCCGTTTTGTACATTATCTCAGACTGTGCCTAAGTACTTTTTTTTTTCGTTTCCAGGTAAACCAAAGGACAAACAGTATTTATACCTAGACGAAATGCTAACCAGGAACATGCTAAAACTGGACAACATCGAAACAGGCGGTCTAGACAGCATCCGAAACGCTAGAAGAGAATGCATCAGGTGTATAGAAAAAGCGATCGGCGTTCTGGAAAGCAAAGCGGCTGCCAACGTAGCACGACCGAAAGACGAAAACGTCATGGACGTCGACGAAACGTCACAAGAACCCAAAGAAAACCAAGAGGCTAAAACTAATGCGGAAGCGATGGAGAGCGAATCTCGAACCGGCGAAGCGCAGAGCGCAAAAATGGAAGCCGAAAGTGTAGAGAAGGAAACGAACGAAGAACCAATGGAAAAGGACCGATCGCAGAGCGAGGCGGTTTCAGCGCCTACGGAGACTTGCGAAGGCCAAGAAAACAACATGGCGGTGGCCGACGCCGTGAAAAAGTTCGAGAACAAAGATGAAGACGAAGGCGAGAAGAAAGAAGAAAAGACGGAACAAAAAGAGGAGAAGAAAGAGACGAAGAAGAAAGGAAAGAAGAAAGTTGAGAAGAAGAAAGAATAGTGTGTACGCCGCGCTTTACCGTTTTTCGAATATTAATCTTGCTTTTTTATGAGAAAATACGAGTTGGTTTCGTATGTTTTTTTTTTTGTTTCGTAGCGAGACTGATTCGTAAGTGTGAAGTATGTTTGCCATATAAGTACACAGATACTTGTTGCGTCAGTAGATTTCGGTATCGCTTCAAATAGAATATGAAATATTCATCGTGTAGTGCATTTTTATAAATTTTATCTCAGTTTCAATCCATGAAACACCCAGTATTACACTTAATATTCTCACTCTTCTTTTCTCTTGTAAGACGCTAACATGTGTAAATATTTTTTTATGTAGACTGTGATTTTTGTTTTCCTTGTTTTCCTAACCGTCCTTTCTGATTAATTCTATTTATTGTAAATAATTGTACAATTGATATTTGATTGTACCTGTACAAATAATAAATTATTAAAAGGACTAATTTTTTTGTGTTTTTTTTTTCTGAAAAAGCAAGATTAAATCGTACTTTTCTATTAATGCAGCAGTTTTGAAATTATAGACTTAATAAAAGCTATCGCCCGTTCAGATCTAAGGCATGTTGAAAGATGTCTTAGGGAAGAATGACTACCGAGTTATTTGCACTTGAAAATAGGTGCTAAAATGTGTTTTATAGAAAGATGTAGTGCTGAGAGGGATGCACGTTTATATTATTAAAATATGCGACTGTCTTGATGACAGTTGAATAATCGTTGTTTTGTTGATAAACGAATAAATTGTATAACGAGAAGAAATTGTTTTATTCATCACGATACACAGTTATGTCCTCTTTTACCTGACTGGCTACAGTAAGATCCTGGACTGCAATGCTCTTCAAAAAGGTCAAGCTAGGAAGCTGAAATTGATGCATGAATATACTAAGTGTCAAAACAAAGTACATACCTACGTATGTTTATCCGATTTTAATAATTTTCGGCACTGTCTACTGAACCTTTCTCGTAAAATTGGTGGACGACGAGCTGCTATCAGGATCACAGAAACGCGAAGAGGTTTGCAAATACGACTCTGCTCTTGCTATTAGATAAGCACGAAATTCAAATCCAATGCATCGATACCTCTTGCCGTTTCTGCGATCCTGATACAGATCTGTAGGCTTCCGAAGATCGCACGGTCGACCAGACTTTTGTCGTAAAGTTGGTGGACGACGAGCTGCTATCAGGATCACAGAAACGCGAGGAGGTTTGCCACTCTCTTCTTGCTATTAGGTAAGCACGAAATTCAAATACATGGCATCGATACCTCTTGCCGCTTCTGCGATCCTGATACAAAACTATAGACTTCCGAAAATCGCACTGTCTACCAGACTTTTCTCGAAAAATTGGTGGACAACGAGCTGCTATCAGGATCACAGGAACGCGAGGAGGTTTGTAAATACGACTCTGCTCTTGCTACTAGATAAGCACGAATATCAAATCCATGGCATCGATACCTCTTGCCGTTTCTGCGATCCTGATACAGATCTGTAGGCTTCCGAAGATCGCACGGTCGACCAGACTTTTGTCGTAAAATTGGTGGACGACGAGCTGCTATCAGGATCACAGAAACGCGAGGAGGTTTGCCACTCTCTTCTTGCTATTAGGTAAGCACGAAATTCAAATACATGGCATCGATACCTCTTGCCGCTTCTGCGATCCTGATACAAAACTATAGACTTCCGAAAATCGCACTGTCTACCAGACTTTTCTCGAAAAATTGGTGGACAACGAGCTGCTATCAGGATCACAGGAACGCGAGGAGGTTTGTAAATACGACTCTGCTCTTGCTACTAGATAAGCACGAATATCAAATCCATGGCATCGATACCTCTTGCCGTTCTGCGATCCTGATACAGATCTGTAGCTTCCGAAGATCGCACGTTCGACCAGACTTTTGTCGTAAAATTGGTGGACGACGAGCTGCTATAGGATCACAGAAACGCGAGGAGGTTTGCCACTCTCTTCTTGCTATTAGGTAAGCACGAAATTCAATACATGGCATCGATACCTCTTCCGCTTCTGCGATCCTGATACAAAACTATAGGACTTCCGAAAATCGCACTGTCTACAGACTTTCTCGAAAATTGGTGGACACGAGCTGCTATCAGGATCACAGGAACGCGAGGAGGTTTGTAAATACGACTCTGCTCTTGCTACTAGATAAGCCACGAATATCAAATCCATGGCACGATACCTCTTGCCGTTTCTGCGATCCTGATACAGATCTGTAGGCTTCCGAAGATCGCACGGTCGACCAGACTTTTTGTCGTAAATTGGTGGACGACGAGCTGCTATCAGGATCACAGAAACGCGAGAGGGTTTGCCACTCTCTTCTTGCTAGTAGGTAAGCACGAAATTCAAATACATGGCATCGATACCTCTTGCCGCTTCTGCAATCCTGATACAGATCTATAGACTTCCGAAAATCGCACTGTCTACCAGACTTTTCTCGAAAAATTGGTGGACAACGAGCTGCTATCAGGATCACAGGAACGCGAGGAGGTTTGTAAATACGACTCTGCTCTTGCTACTAGATAAGCACGAATATCAAATCCATGGCATCGATACCTCTTGCCGTTTCTGCGATCCTGATACAGATCTGTAGGCTTCCGAAGATCGCACGGTCGACCAGACTTTTGTCGTAAAATTGGTGGACGACGAGCTGCTATCAGGATCACAGAAACGCGAGGAGGTTTGCCACTCTCTTCTTGCTATTAGGTAAGCACGAAATTCAAATACATGGCATCGATACCTCTTGCCGTTTCTGCGATCCTGATACAGATCTGTAGGCTTCCGAAGATCGCACTGTCTGCCAGACTTTTCTCCTAAAATTGGTGGACGACGAGCTGCTATCAGGATCACAGAAGCGCGAGGAGGTTTGCCACTCTCTTCTTGCTATTAGGTAAGCACGAAATTCAAATACATGGCATCGATACCTCTTGCCGTTTCTGCAATCCTGATACAGATCTATAGACTTCCGAAAATCGCACTGTCTACCAGACTTTTCTCGAAAAATTGGTGGACAACGAGCTGCTATCAGGATCACAGGAACGCGAGGAGGTTTGTAAATACGACTCTGCTCTTGCTACTAGATAAGCACGAATATCAAATCCATGGCATCGATACCTCTTGCCGTTTCTGCGATCCTGATACAGATCTGTAGGCTTCCGAAGATCGCACGGTCGACCAGACTTTTGTCGTAAAATTGGTGGACGACGAGCTGCTATCAGGATCACAGAAACGCGAGGAGGTTTGCCACTCTCTTCTTGCTATTAGGTAAGCACGAAATTCAAATACATGGCATCGATACCTCTTGCCGTTTCTGCGATCCTGATACAGATCTGTAGGCTTCCGAAGATCGCACTGTCTGCCAGACTTTTCTCCTAAAATTGGTGGACGACGAGCTGCTATCAGGATCACAGAAGCGCGAGGAGGTTTGCCACTCTCTTCTTGCTATTAGGTAAGCACGAAATTCAAATACATGGCATCGATACCTCTTGCCGTTTCTGCAATCCTGATACAGATCTATAGACTTCCGAAAATCGCACTGTCTACCAGACTTTTCTCGAAAAATTGGTGGACAACGAGCTGCTATCAGGATCACAGGAACGCGAGGAGGTTTGTAAATACGACTCTGCTCTTGCTACTAGATAAGCACGAATATCAAATCCATGGCATCGATACCTCTTGCCGTTTCTGCGATCCTGATACAGATCTGTAGGCTTCCGAAGATCGCACGGTCGACCAGACTTTTGTCGTAAAGTTAGTGGACGACGAGCTGCTATCAGGATCACAGAAACGCGAGAGGGTTTGCCACTCTCTTCTTGCTAGTAGGTAAGCACAAAATTCAAATACATGGCATCGATACCTCTTGCCGCTTCTGCGATCCTGATACAAAACTATAGACTTCCGAAAATCGCACTGTCTACCAGACTTTTCTCGAAAAATTGGTGGACAACGAGCTGCTATCAGGATCACAGGAACGCGAGGAGGTTTGTAAATACGACTCTGCTCTTGCTACTAGATAAGCACGAATATCATATCCATGGCATCGATACCTCTTGCCGTTTCTGCGATCCTGATACAGATCTGTAGGCTTCCGAAGATCGCACGGTCGACCAGACTTTTGTCGTAAAGTTGGTGGACGACGAGCTGCTATCAGGATCACAGAAACGCGAGGAGGTTTGCCACTCTCTTCTTGCTATTAGGTAAGCACGAAATTCAAATACATGGCATCGATACCTCTTGCCGCTTCTGCGATCCTGATACAAAACTATAGACTTCCGAAATCGCACTGTCTACCAGACTTTTCTCGAAAAATTGGTGGACAACGAGCTGCTATCAGGATCACAGGAACGCGAGGAGGTTTGTAAATACGACTCTGCTCTTGCTACTAGATAAGCACGAATATCAAATCCATGGCATCGATACCTCTTGCCGTTTCTGCGATCCTGATACAGATCTGTAGGCTTCCGAAGATCGCACGGTCGACCAGACTTTTGTCGTAAAATTGGTGGACGACGAGCTGCTATCAGGATCACAGAAACGCGAGGAGGTTTGCCACTCTCTTCTTGCTATTAGGTAAGCACGAAATTCAAATACATGGCATCGATACCTCTTGCCGTTTCTGTGATCCTGATACAGATCTGTAGGCTTCCGAAGATCGCACTGTCTGCCAGACTTTTCTCCTAAATTGGTGGACGACGAGCTGCTATCAGGATCACAGAAGCGCGAGGAGGTTTGCCACTCTCTTCTTGCTATTAGGTAAGCACGAAATTCAAATACATGGCATCGATACCTCTTGCCGTTTCTGCAATCCTGATACAGATCTATAGACTTCCGAAAATCGCACTGTCTACCAGACTTTTCTCGAAAAATTGGTGGACAACGAGCTGCTATCAGGATCACAGGAACGCGAGGAGGTTTGTAAATACGACTCTGCTCTTGCTACTAGATAAGCACGAATATCAAATCCATGGCATCGATACCTCTTGCCGTTTCTGCGATCCTGATACAGATCTGTAGGCTTCCGAAGATCGCACGGTCGACCAGACTTTTGTCGTAAAATTGGTGGACGACGAGCTGCTATCAGGATCACAGAAACGCGAGGAGGTTTGCCACTCTCTTCTTGCTATTAGGTAAGCACGAAATTCAAATACATGGCATCGATACCTCTTGCCGTTTCTGCGATCCTGATACAGATCTGTAGGCTTCCGAAGATCGCACTGTCTGCCAGACTTTTCTCCTAAAATTGGTGGACGACGAGCTGCTATCAGGATCACAGAAGCGCGAGGAGGTTTGCCACTCTCTTCTTGCTATTAGGTAAGCACGAAATTCAAATACATGGCATCGATACCTCTTGCCGTTTCTGCAATCCTGATACAGATCTATAGACTTCCGAAAATCGCACTGTCTACCAGACTTTTCTCGAAAAATTGGTGGACAACGAGCTGCTATCAGGATCACAGGAACGCGAGGAGGTTTGTAAATACGACTCTGCTCTTGCTACTAGATAAGCACGAATATCAAATCCATGGCATCGATACCTCTTGCCGTTTCTGCGATCCTGATACAGATCTGTAGGCTTCCGAAGATCGCACGGTCGACCAGACTTTTGTCGTAAAGTTAGTGGACGACGAGCTGCTATCAGGATCACAGAAACGCGAGAGGGTTTGCCACTCTCTTCTTGCTAGTAGGTAAGCACAAAATTCAAATACATGGCATCGATACCTCTTGCCGCTTCTGCGATCCTGATACAA